AGAGCCAAAAATGAACTTATAGAATAGAATAAAAAAAAGTGCGGCTGGTCACTTAAAGCGCCCAGAGTCACCTAAATCATACGATCTTTTGTAACTTCCGCCTTAGTTTCGGTCAGTCACACAGCCCCAGCCCTGTGTTTCTCACTAGGCTAATAAGGCTGGTGACAGCCGCTTGTTGTAAGTCCTCTGGTTTCAGGAAAGCCTGGCCCCAGATTTTATAGCGACGGAGTGCTAATAGGGGGCATTCACATAAAATGTGGATGACGCCCTCCTTATCGCCTCCGCACAGTCTGCAGTCTTCTTGTTCTGCAAGTTTCATCTTGAACAGNCACGCCCCCGTTGAAGAATAGAACTCATAGCTCTCGTAACATCCTGAGCATTTTTTCTTTTTATCGGCTCAGCCCAAGCAAATTTGGAAAAAGTATCGATTACAGTGAGCAAAAATCTATTTCCATTATTGCTTTTGGCGTAAGCTGTCATATCGACCAAATCTGCCTGTCATGTTTCATCCAGATCACGAATGTTGACTCGTCGCCGAGGATAATTTCTTCGTGCTGGACGATGTAATGCTGTCACGACATCCAATTTATTCTCCGACGTTTTTAGAATCGCTTGGTCTTCTTTCCGGTATTCTCATTAATCTATCAATTCGTCTATTAATATCCGCACACTTACGTTTTATATCAATTTGCAATTCGTTAATTTTTGCATTTAGAGTCTGTAGTGTGACAGCATCGTGTGGGTCCACTGGAGTTGCAACATTACTCAGTCTTTTATCCAGAAGATTATAATTGCCATTTGCAGTTACTTTATAACCAACGCCGGGTGGGCCTCGATTGTAGCAGCCACTATCAGAGATTAAGTGGCGACCAAACACGTCAACACTCATTTCGCAAATGACAACAGATGGCAATGTGCATACTCTAATATATAATTCCCGCCTCGCAAAGTTCTTCGATAATTGCTATAATTTCGTTATCATGACTGGGATTTCCAGGTTTCTGTGATGCTACTAGTAATCGAAGACGGTCCACAAGTTCAGTTGGATCGTTCCAATAAATATAATCCACTGTGCTGGATCGCCGAGCCCTCATAAAAGTAGGTAGAAGCCCCGTGCCAGAGTACTTTGATCCAGCACAATGTAATAAAAATTTTATTTGCCTGTTGTATCCCATGGAGGAAAGCCTGAATATCAAACTCCCGCCGGTCTTTGAGGATTCCATGGCACACTATGAGATCCCTGCACATCAGCCATATGCCTCAACAGCACTGGATAATAGTGATGAAATTCGAATTACTGTACAGAATCAGGATCTCTGTTGTTTACCAAGCAAAAGTTACTTACACATCACTGGTAAACTGCTTAAATCGAACAACACCATCTCTACAACTACAAAATTTGTGAATAACGCCATTTGTCATCTATTTCAAAAGATCCGCTATGAAATTAATGCTATTGAGATTGATAAAGTCAAGAGTAGGTAAACAGTACGGGTTCTGGATACAAACCTCGAAAACGCGCTGTGAGATGGCGCCGTCGGCGGTGGGAGGCGGGGGAATGGTGGGATACAAACTTTAAAACGCGCTGGGAGATGGCGCTGTGTGGGGGGGATGTTGAGATTGGGATGCGGATATCAGATGGTTATGTCTTATAGTAAGGGGGGGTTGAAGTACGTTGCACGCCTGTAATCAACAGTGGACACGTACGTCTTCTGTAAACAATCACGATCGAAGGAACGGCCTTCATAGTGCTTGGTGGCGAGCCGTTGGAGAGCCCGATCAAATGTCGACATTTCTTTTGAGAATTTTTTTTTCAGATAATTATTCAAGACTCTCAAGAAGAAGAATTTTTCAGACAAAAGTATCCAATGGATTATCATTGAAATTGAAATTTTACGTCACAGAGTTAGCTGTGACCTAGCGAGTATATATATATATATATATATATATATATATATATATATATATATATCAGCGGGCACGTACGCGTTGTCTAAACAAGGAGAGTCTCCAGAGAGCCCAGATCCAGAGTCTCCAGAGAGCCCAGCGCCAGAGGAAAGAGGCTCCATTAGTATTTCAGAGGGGAAATAAAGCTCTGTCAATATTCCTGACTCTCCTGAAAGCCCAGAGCCAGAGTCTCCAGAGAGTCCAGACTCAGAGGAACGAGGCTCCGTCAATATTCTAGACTCTCCAGAGAGCTCAGAGCCAGAGGAGAGAGGCTCTGTTCATATTTCGAACTCATCAGCAGAGAGCTCTGAGTCTGTGGTGGTGGTGGAAGGCTCTCCTTCCATTCCAAAAATCTCTTATTCAATGGAGACAGACTCACCTGTCATCTCAGACACATCCTGAGTCCGGCAGCAGCAGGTAATACTCCTGATGAATCTATCATTATGGATACATCAGAGGCTCTTACACCAGCGGTAGTGATTCTAGAGGCTACACCAGAGGTGGAGGCGGTGATTCATGAGACAACACCAGGGCCGCAACCGGTGATTCCAGTGAATTCTGATACTGTACAACCCGAATCAGTGGAGGGTTTCGTGCCACAAGAATGGGAGGGTGTGATGTTTGAAAGAGTTATGAAGAAGAAGCTGAGGGATGTCGTCAATCGACACTTCAAATTTGGTGGTACTTTCCTTGCAATGGCGGGTGTACGAGCCAAGTTGATTGCCTGTTGTTGAGAAATTGATTTGAATATCCATGTTAAATTCAGTCGTTAATATTCTCTCCGCTGACTGGCGACACCTTCCAGTCACACCTCCTCCCATTTTTGATTTCCCTCTTTTTTTTCCTACCTGGATCTCACCCCCCCAATGGTGTGAATGTAAAACTGCCTGTCATTGAACACGTTTCTCTTATCTTGTAATTAACCAGTGATTCAACAACCTTCATTAAAACGTTAAGAGTTGATGAACTATATCTCTCATAAATATTATCAAAACATCGAATTATGTATACAGGCTCATACTTTGTTAAATACACTTTAATGTCCAAAAAATTTTATACTAGAAATTTAAGACTCGAATAAATTTTATATAGGATCATAACTATAAGCTACATGTAATTAAGAACCAAACCCACAATTGTAAGTCAAATTGAATNTACAGGCTCATACTTTGTTAAATACACTGTAATGTCCAAAAAATTTTATACTAGAAATTTAAGACTCGAATAAATTTTATATAGGATCATAACTATAAGCTACATGTAATTAAGAACCAAACCCACAATTGTAAGTCAAATTGAATACATTTCAGCACTTGAACTCGATTAAAAATTCCAAAGACATTGGAATCGAGTTCAAAAGTGATGAAATGGCGCACTCAGCACGCCCCAATTACCCAATACTAAGATTCGTGCGCGAAGGAACGATTGCAAACCGATTAATTAAGACCCCAAAAACCAAATGAACTACTTCCCCATGAAAATCAAAAGAGTGGGAAAAGTCATACGACATTTTCCACCAATTAAAAATGGACTCGTTGGAGCCCATGTGACAAGTGACCCCAAAATTCATATACAAATGTCAGAAAAATCAAAATTAAACAGTCTTGAAGCAGCGACGGAGCAGTAACAATTCTGGTGGAAATAGTTCATTTAATCGGTCCGGTTTTTCAATCCTTCCTTCGACTACACGGGATAGTCCTGAATTAATAGTAAGTTACGAACAATTGAAATTATCCGAGAATAAAATTTCTTTAACCGAGAGTGGTGACTTTTCTTGCAAATAAGGAATTCGTTTATTATAACGCGTTGTGGACAGGCTCAACCAAACCCTTAAAAATCTTCAACTTCAACTGCCAAAAATTCATTAAAATATCAACGAGTAGAAGAAAGTGTTTCCGCAAAAGTATCCATAATAGCCTTTAGCGCGACTAATTGCTGGTGAGGAAATTACGGATTTACCCAAGGATCTACAAGTACATCGAATAATTTATAAATAACAGACCGAATTGTGAGTACCAAAATTTGTAAACTCAAATTTGAATCCTTCAGATAATTCCAGGGATAGGAATTTTAGCTACCTAGATTTCTGTAAAATCACGCTCATGTTTTTGTAAACCAAGCAGTTATACAAAATATATTTAAATTCAAATTTGATTCTCATTACAACTCCAAATGTCTTGATTAGAAATTTGTCTCAACTCAAACCCTATCCCTAAATCAAGCTCTTTTTCCCTTATATTTTAAACAAAGGTAAGAGTATAAAACTTTGCGTCGTTCAATAATTATAAAATTCAATAATTTTAGCTTTGATTTTAATGTGACAATTAAAACATGTCCATTGGACGCTAAAATCCTTCTCTGGACATAACAACACTTTAAAACTTGTAATTAATTTGAAGTGTTATTTCTAACCTAAAATCTCTCCCGTCCGGCTTCCAAATATAATAAAACACCTGTCCTCATGGCAATGTATTGTTTCGTCCAACTGACTCTTTCAAACATCCTGGGCGATTGCCGGCTAATATCAAAATTTATCCAGAAGTAAGTTTCTATGAAGTTTCGAAAAAAAATAATAAACAATTGAGATAAATCATGTGATATTGGAGAAAATACAATACCCTAATTTTATCAATTGACTGAATCAATGCAAAAAAAATAAATCACTAATTCATTTGTCTTATTTTATCTGTTTCAGTTGTAAACGCTCGAAGAGAATTCCTAAAACGCTTCTGCTGTCTGATGTGATACTATGGATTATTGCTTGCGCTACACTAGAATCTTTTTTTTTCCCCAACACTCTGAAATTGAGGGAGTGAAAAACCTTCTGTTACTATCTATGCCTTAAGACATGTGAATATTTACTCTTTTCATTATTTTGAAATTATCTGTGTTTGAAATTATCTACTGAATAAAGAAGGAAAATTGAATATATATATTCTATATATGCCACATTTTTTCAATGCCTCTCCGTATTCCTCCAAACATAAATACTTGAGTTGTGACGCCAGACACCCAAACAACTAAGCGACAGAGGAGGGGAAGTGTATGGAGCCTGGACCGTGTAGTAGCCTCGCCGCTGCTCTTCTTCTTTATTACTTCTTAAGACGTCAACGCGAAAAATTAAAAAAGTGTGTGTGTTGCAAATCAACGTTAATGTAAGTATTTCAAAATTTTTGAGAGATTCAATAGTAATTTGAGTGACATTAGTAGTGAGTTTACAATGTGGCATTGATGATTATGTTGTTCTTTTATAGTGAAAATGCAGAATCACCCATTCCCAGGCCCAGATCTGAGGGGGGAGTGGGGGGAGGACGACTCTCTACTAGAAGACTGGTGGTTGGGTCAGGTGGAGAAGGGTTGGGGTAAAATCCCCGACTATTATGAGGTGATCAGTCATCTCGAGATACGAGATGTATAGATTATATTTTAAACAAAGGTAAGCGTATAAAACTTTGCGTCGTTCAATAATTATAAAATTCAATAATTTTAGCTTTGATTTTAATGTGACGAATTAAAACATGTCCATTCGACGCTAAAATCATTCTCTGGACATAACGACACTTTAAAACTTGTAAATAATTTGAAGTGTTATTTCTAACCTAAAATCTCTCCCGTCCGGCTTCCAACTATAATAAAACACCTGTCCTCATGGCAATGTATTGTTTCGTCCAACTGACTCTTTGAAACATCCTGGGCGATTGCCGGCTAATATCAAAATTTATCCAGAAGTAAGTTTCTATGAAGTTTCGAAAAAAAATAATAACCAATTGAGATAAATCATGTGATATTGGAGAAAATACAATACCCTAATTTTATCAATTGACTGAATCAATGCAAAAAAAATAAATCACTAATTCATTTGTCTTATTTTATCTGTTTCAGTTGTAAACGCTCGAAGAGAATTCCTAAAACGCTTCTGCTGTCTGATGTGATACTATGGATTATTGCTTGCGCTACACTAGAATCTTTTTTTTTCCCCAACACTCTGAAATTGAGGGAGTGAAAAACCTTCTGTTACTATCTATGCCTTAAGACATGTGAATATTTACTCTTTTCATTATTTTGAAATTATCTGTGTTTGAAATTATCTATTGACTAAAGAAGGAAAATCGAATATATATATTCTATATATGCCTCATTTTTTCAATGCCTCTCCGTATTCCTCCAAACATAAATACTTGAGTTGCGACGCCAGACACCCAAACAACTAAGCGACAGAGGAGGGGAAGTGTATGGAGCCTGGACCGTGTAGTAGCCTCGCCGCTGCTCTTCTTCTTTATTACTTCTTAAGACGTCAACGCGAAAAATTAAAAAAGTGTGTGTGTTGCAAATCAACGTTAATGTAAGTATTTCAAAATTTTTGAGAGATTCAATAGTAATTTGAGTGACATTAGTAGTGAGTTTACAATGTGGCATTGATGATTATGTTGTTCTTTTATAGTGAAAATGCAGAATCACCCATTCCCAGGCCCAGATCTGAGGGGGGAGTGGGGGGAGGACGACTCTCTACTAGAAGACTGGTGGTTGGGTCAGGTGGAGAAGGGTTGGGGTAAAATCCCCGACTATTATGAGGTGATCAGTCATCTCGAGATACGCATGCACTTGCTCATCAAGTACACGGCGTTTCTCGGCGATTTTGATTATGTGGACAAGGTAATTATCTATTGAAATCGAAGTGAAAAAAAAAAAGGTTTTTTCATATAGTTTGTGAGTGTGTGTGATTAATTTGTGATCTTTATTTCTGTTTACAGCAGGCCCAACTCCACCAGTAGATGAGGCTGTGCCTCAATTTTCTCCTCCTCGTCGAGCGTGAGGATGAGGCACGGGAGATGCTGCCATACGCTCGGAGCCTGGCTGCTGCAGCCGGGTTGATCTTGGGTGCTCAGGGTCATCACAATGTGTGAAGTGAGTAACCAGTATCATCTCTCTCTGTTCTCATTTCTTTCCAACTTGTCAACTTCCAGACGGCGTAGGATAACATTTTTTTTTATCAACATTTTTTTATATTCCGTTTTTTATTCAGTTTTCATATTAAGATTTTTTCAATATTACTACTATTATTCAATACTTTTTTTAAATTTCATAGTATACATTATTAATATATATAGAAGAAAAAGAAACAAATTCTCTGTTTTTTCATTTATTTCACCAGTATCATCTTTTGAGGTTATTTCATTATTTTTAATACATTGGTTTTAAAGGAGTAATAGTAAGTATTCACAATATTTTTTCAATGTCCACGTTGCTGAAATTGCACGGGTTAAACTGTCCCTCCAGAAATGTAACTTCCAAACATTTGGAAGCAACAGCCTGGCGATATCTCTCCACCTTAGGTAAATCCAGTTGGAAGACGTCAGACAATCGCTGTGGCAGATGAACGATGCACTCGTCGTTCAAAGCAACAACCACTTTGGATCCAAATTTAGTCGAGATCACTTTCAGGTCGGTGACTAAATATTTCTGGTTGAGTATCAACTCTGCTCGACGTTTGATGGGCAGGAAATCCCCTCGAGTAGCAATTTTATTGATGTCATCCAGATCCACAGCTTGATCCATCTCCATTTTGACTTGAATGTTGGATAGAATGATGGATTAATAAATGTATCTTTTCCTTCAATTTAGATTTGAAAATCGTATGGGTATCGTTGCAGTTAGTAGACTGAATCGTCTCTGGTTCCACCGACAGTACTTATAGGCTTTTATGGGTGGTGGAGAGGTTACAATTATTGGCCGTCATTTTAATGGAAGAAAAATTCTAAGTAAAAATTGAGTCCAACGTACTTTTCAACCGTCACATGGTTTCTGAAAATTCGATGGCTTCGCAGGGGAGTATTGAATCGATCGAACATATTTCTCAACGGAAAAATCACTCGTGGAATTTCAACGGTCAAACAGTTCTTGAAAATTTTTGGTTGAATTGGAAGGAATGATGAAACGTCGTCTTCTTTAACGGAAGAGACATTCGCAGAATCGTAACCGTCAAATTTTTCTGGAACTTTCGTTGGAAGATTCTCAAGACGCTAACACAGACACACACACACACACACATACACACGATCATGGCTATAAATTCATGTGCCTTTCTACCAAGTTCCTTAGTATAATTTCAAGATGGAACGTAATACCATGCCATCTACTAGAATACTTGAAGTTCTAGAGAATGCTTATCAGAGTGCACGCAATCACGATATAGAACGATGGATTAATAAATGTATCTCTTACATTCAACTTTACACAAAAGCTCTGAATAGGGGAAATTTATCTGTTGGGAAGAAAAATGAAATTTTGTCTGTAATCGCCTGAATCCAAGGATACGAAGAAGTATTCAGAAATAAACAATATCGAGGAGGCCAAGTGCAGGTGCCATCAGCTAGCAGGGAAGAATCGCTTAGAAATCGAGTACGCTGGAGGGATGGGCCAGTAGCCTTTCAAGGTCGAGTACGTACTGGCATTGTAATCAATCTCCAAAATAAGGATGCAGTGGCTTTCTTGAACGATGCAAAAGAATTGTCAACTGTACTTTTGGGGAACGTTCGTGAGAGTAATGAAAATATCAAATTCAACACTATCCTAGCTTGTACATTTCAAATAAAAAGGAAGAGGTCATCAGCAGTGAAACAAAGTATTTCAATACGAAATATGAAATCATTTTACCAGCTACAAATCTCAAGGAATGGTTTGATGAGAATGTGACTGAACCATTGCTTACGAAAATCGAGGATTTCCAAAAACCTGATTCAGGATGGGAACTGATTGAAAATTTTGAATTTAATGATTAATATCAATCGGTATGTTCCACTCAGTGCTGGTTTATCGACTTATACAGAGCTGCCGTATAATAACGGTGTAAGAAAGCAGTTGTTAACCTAAAAAATTCCGAAGAATTCTGTTTCTTGTGGTCAGTTATTGCTGCTCTCCATCCAGCAAAAAGTAACAGATGTGTTACTTACTCATATTCCCATTATACCACTGCAACTGTACCTCAAAGTCACAAGAGGCTTGATTACAGGGGTACTAATTTCCCTATCGCTCTGAGTGATATTCATATATTTGAGAAGAAAAATGCTTTATCGATTAATATTTATGGTATTGAATATGAACGCAATGCTTAGAAAGAAATAGTACCTTTCTATCTCAGCAAAATGGAAACTCACATACCTACAATTCATTTACTACTTTTGTGTTCGAGTGTGCATGTTCCAGCGGGTTCCCAATCAATTTATCACTTTGCATGGATTAGCAATCTTTCCAGACTTGTTAGTGCGTAAATTTCAAGTGCTAAGTATCGTATGTATCTCTGTGATCGGTGCTTGTGAAATTTTTATGATAAAAAATATTATGACGACCATCAGCAAGACTGTTTCGCTATAAATAAGTGTAAAGTGATATTACCATCGGAGGAAAACAAAATTTTGAAATTAAAAAATGAGAAGTTCAAGGAACCTACACCGTTCGTTATTTACGCTGATCTAGAGTGCATTTTACAATCTAATAATGATGATGATGATAGATTGTGTCAATAACATATCGTATACAGTGTTGCCTTCTACTTACCGTGTTCCTTTGATAAGAACACATCTCTCTTTAAAATTAAACGTGGCTCTAACTAGGGGCGGCAGAAGGGGTATGGTGGGTATGGAGCACTCCATACCCCAAATTTTGGAGGGTATGGAATTCCATACCTCAAATTCTGGAGCGTATGGAATTCCACACCCCAAAAAATGGAAGAAAAATTAAAATTTGAGCAGTTTATATGACAAAATTGATGACTGGCAATCCAATTTTTACTGGCAACCCATTTGTTTTCTCAACTTGAAATTTCTTCTCGCTTTTTTCGTCGGATGCACTTAGGTGAGCTCTACATCGGTTTCAAAAGTCAACTGCCCGTTGGCAGCACCATCGCTCCCTCCCATTGTACTCATCGCTCGAGGTAGAAATCTCGTGGAAGGGGAACCGATGGTTATACCGTGAAAGCGTGTGCTTCGAGTAACTCAGATCTATTCAATTTTTAAATGTAGTGGTGCGTCATGAACACCTTAGATAATTTCCTCATGGGAAAGAAGAGGAAGAGAGATGAAGAACCAGGCGTTTTAAAACCACCAGATGGGCTAGTACCTAATGAGAGAATACGTGTCAGTGTCACCTCAACTGTTGGAAGTGGACTAAATGAATCTAGCATTTCTAGCGGTAATTTGGTCACAAAAAATCAAGGTATTTTGACTTCAATAACTCTCTCGGCTCCGTTAGGTGGAAAATTTTCCTGGGTGATCAATCAACCTTTTTTTCTGTCATTAGATCTTGATCTCGGGCTTCAGACAAAAGTTACAACTTGGCGAAAGACCTATCCATGGATTGCTGTAAATGAAAGCCGAGGAATTGTCTGCAATATTTGTACGGAGGCAGTCTCAAAGTAGCTGCCTGTTCCAACAGACGACAACAGTGTAGCGTCACGTCAAGCGTTTGTCACAAACGGATTCAAGGGTTTCAAGAACGCCTACAAATCCTTCCCGTCACATAAAAAAAGTACTCTCCATCAAACCTCACACTCATTATTAAATCAGAGTAACTCAGTTAATGTTTTGCAGCATTTGTCTTCTGCAAAAGCTAAAGAAATGACGAGCAACCGAGTTCCTCTGAAGAAAATGGTCCACACCATTCAAGTTCTCGCGAAACAGGGCTTACCCCTAAGTGGAACTGATGATGAGCAGCGCTCCAATTTCCTACAGATTTTAAGCGCCAGGTCTGAGGACGTTAAAGAATTGAAAGATTAGTTGAGTCGTGACGGCTACAAATGGTTGCACCACGACAGCCAGAATGAAATCCTTGATCTTATGTACAAGAAAATATTAACTGAAAACCTCGATTTCATTACAGCATCTCCATTCCTTGCTTTGATAGATGAAACATCTGATGTTTCTCACTTGGAACAAATCTCAGTCACATTCCGAGTGGTATCGAATGAGTTATCTCCCAGAGAGATTTTCCTTGGCTTTTACAATACGTCAAGTACCAAATCAGTCACACTATTTAGTATCATTAACGATATTTTCCAACGATACCAATTGGAGTTCAAGAAATTGAGAGGTCAGTGTTATGATGGAGCTGCCAACGTGGCAGGAAAAATCACGGGT